TTAAAACCCACTTCCCTAAATTAAATGCATCAGGAAACATCAGCATCATTTACCTTCTACATTTGTTGTAACTCATTTAAACATAAGTACAAAATCTCGAGTCCACACTCCTCATGGATGAAACTTCTTATACTGAAAGTGAAACGTGATAAGCACTAAGCATAATGAGAAAACCCAACTTCTATACAACTATATAATCTCTCAGGTAAGAACCCATTAGCATAATTCATTATATTAATTATTAACCATTCACCACAAATACAGATATAATTATAAAAAAAATTCTATTAGATAAAAATGCACCTTAAGCATCAATAATCACGGATTTTTAATCAACTATATAAGCATGAAAGATATGGTAGCTAGTTAATTGCATCGATTCAGTTAGCTGAATGTAATGGTACAATGAAATATGAAAAGACCAAAATTCAAATTCTGAACAACAAGCATCAAAATTCGAATACTCACATCATCATCATCAGAATCATCACTATCAAGCAGAGAATCGGGCAGACTATCGGGATTCCCTCCAAACTTGGCAGGGGTAGACCATGAATTCAGCTGCGCCTGGACTTGGGGCTGCGTGACAACTGCAGATGAAGGCTTGCCCACCAATCTAGCCTCGAGTTTCGCAATCTTTGAGGATTGATCCGATTGGTTCGAAGAATTGGAAGCGAAATGCAGAATCATGTCTTCCGACATTGCTTAGCTATTCAATTGAAGCAGGTTCTATAGTAACTGCAGTCAATGCAGGCAAACCTCACTGAACCTGTTGTATCTAAACATCGAAGTAAAGCTGCACCAAACCCCCCAAAAAAAAGTGGGGAAAAAGGTGATAAATTTCGGTGCGTGAATGAATAAAGTGATTTTTCCACTAATTCATGACGGGTGCACGGGCATTGCTCTCTCTGTGAAATCTGACATGTGTGTACCTCTCTCTATCTGTGTGTTTGTGTGTGTGCGCGCGTGTGCGTACGAATAGAGAGGGGAGAATGGAGAAATTGATTTGATGGGGTGAAGGAATTAGGGTTCCTGATTTCGTTAGTTGCAGAGTTGAATTTGATTGATTGAGTGCAGAGAAACGAAGAAGGGAAAAATGGTGGGGGAGAAAAAGGTGGTGAAAGGGGGGAGATTTTTGAATTTTTTTTTCTTGGATTTGATTTTTAGGTTAAGTTTGATGAAATTGTTTGGGAAGGAGAGTTGAAAAAACAATTTGTTTTTTTTCAATTTGGTGATGGAAATTAGTAATGGTCTTTATTTATTTATTTTTTTATTTGATGATGTATGATCTTTTATTTTGAGTGTATTGTTTGTGTAAATGTAGAGAGAGAGAGAGGGTAAATACATTTGTTGCACCAAGTGTATTTATGCAGATGCATACCTGTCAAGAAAGAAGGTAAATGGAAAAACTTGCCAAATATTGAAATTATTTATTTTCATATCGAAAATCGAAATCTCATATGTATTGATTCTAATTTCGATTAAAGAAAATTAAAAGAATCAGAAATCGGATTTTCTTCAATTTGAAATGAAAATCTTGTTCCAAAATTTTCTTTTTTTAATTGAAATCGACAGAATTTGATAATTTTGTTTCAGTGAGTGTATCTATATATAATATAAAAAGAGGATCTATGCCCTCAATGATTGACATGTGGCAAATGATGATGTCATTTGTCAAAATTGCTTAGTTGGAGTTCAATTGATTAGGTGGATTCTGCAATTGATTATGTGGCATTTTTATTTATGGATGTTTTTAAGTTTTTTCCTATTTTACATTTACACAATCATTTAATAATTACCACATGTATATATATTATTTCCAAAGTTAATATTTTATAAATTCGAAATAAAAAAATCTTATTTATATTTTCAGTATTTCAAAATATATTTATTCAAATAAATTCATGAAACTCAATTGTTTTACGAATATTCAAATAATTTTCATAAAAAAAAATATTTTTTTAAATACTAAAATATTAAAATAAAGGAATATGTTGTTGTTTTTTTTTTTTTAATTTTCAATATTTTAGAATATTCGAATATCCATTCCATTAAAAATAATAATAAAAAATGTTTTAGTTTTTCATTGAAGTATTTAATAAATATACACTATTTTTATTATATCATATTTCAAATTAAAAATAATTATATTATTTAATAAATATGCAATGCACGGTGGATTAATTCTAAATGCAGTAGTTGGTTGTATATTTGGAAAACACTATTTAATATATAATATGGTCCGAACTATAAAATGGATTATGCATTATATTTATTAATTATTATTTCAAATAAAATATCAAATCACCAATATAAGGAATCTTTAATATTCCAAGATTTCATCATATCATCTTTGATTGATTTAATTTATACTTTAATTCAAAATTGAATGGTACAAAATAAAAATCGTATCTTCATATTTAATGTTTTTATATTGCAAGTTTTTTTTCCACAAGTTATTTTTTTTTGGGTTGTTTCCTTTATTTGTTTGATTTGATTTCATTTACTAATATATAAATCTTTTTAATTTTTAAATTTTCCATAGAATTAAGTTCATTTTCAATACTATATAAACCCCTCAATGCTCATTTCATTTTTTTCTACCACCATTCGATTACAAAGTGCACAATGTTCGTATTATACAGTTTCATATTACATTTTCTTTTATCATTTCTTATAAATTATTATAAGTATATATGCATAGTTTTATATTCATAATTAATTTTATATGTACATATTAGTACTATTTGTATTTATTTCTCTTGAGTTTTAATTTTAATATACTTTTTTAATTGTTTTCATGTATATGTGGAAACAACCAAGTTATTCATGCCCATCAAATCAGAGCTTAGAAATGATATTAATGGACGAACAGGTTTGTGAGTCTATTGTAAATATTTTCTCCTATTACGAAGTATACTCATTGTATTTTCATATGCCAACCCGTTTCATTTAATTGTTTTGTAGGGTGACGAGGTGCAAGCCACAGTTCACTAAAAACTGGTGTTCAAATACGACAATAAGATCCGGGCGAACAAATGTTATTTGTTAAATAATCTGAATGTTGGTGCGGAGTTTAAAACATACAAGCATACACTTTCAGATTATCGGATCAATTTTGATTCAAGGACTACTTTCAAACAAATCGATATGCCATCCATCCCATCATCTGCATTCAAATTCGTCCATTTCCCAAAAATAATTGAGGTGTCAAACAACAATGAACGACTGATTGGTAATAATAAATAATGTTTATCATTCGTGTTTATGTAAAATGTTTTTAGCATTTTTTACTAACATTATATACGTTTTTTTTACAGATATCATCGGTTATATCGTTGGAAAAGGTGAAATCGAACCCTTCCTCACAAAAGAAGGCGTTCAAAAAAAGAAACTTCTGATAGAACTCCAAGATCTCGAATATGCACTTATTGAATACACTTCTTATTTTTGTTTGTCAATTTATTTATAATATGTTAGTATTTATAAATAATATCGAATTCATTTGTTTTATTTCTTAACAGCAGTAATAAGATTAGATGCATGTTGTGGGAGAAATATGTTGACCAAGTGATTGAAACTGTACTAGATATTAATGAAGGACCATATATTGCCGTGTTACAATATATATGCAACCGCGCAAATGCGATATGGTATTCTTCATATTTTTACTTGCTTTAAACATTGTATTGAATTCTTCATATTTTTACTTGATTTAAACATTGTATTGAATACATTTGTACTATACATTAGGATTTAATTTAATTATTTTTCAGGTGACATTGAGGTCTCCAATACATTGCATTCTTCCCGGTTTATGATAAATGCAAACATTGACGAAATCAATGACTACAAATCAAGGTTTGTTTAAACATAAATCTCAGCGTATATTTTTTATTTTATATAATGTCTCACTCAAAGGTAAATAACAAAAAGAAAACGAGAGAGTATCCATGTCAAATTCCCATTGTTGGCTTGATATTACCAAAAGGGGACCCATTGACCAGGAAAAATAAATTAGTGGTAGAAATGCATTCATGTATTCAGCATGAATTGAGAAGATGTACCAATATTTTGAAAAAATACATTTCAGAAGGTTTCACTCAACCTTGTCAAATGCTTTTTAGAAAGATCAACCTTGATTGCCATAAAACACTGGTTCCCCTTTTTCTTATGCAATAAGACAAAATCTCCTGGGAGATGATATTATTATCGTTAATATTCCTTATAGGGATAGATGTCATCTGCAATGAGTTTTTAGATGATTTTATATGATACATTGCACATACTGATTGTTCTAAATTGGTCTACTTAGGGGATTTTGGAATGAGGGCTATGAATGTGTGATTAAGGGCTTTGAGTATTTGATAGTTGTCGAGTCGTAAGTCAAATGTCATCAAATACTTCGTACTCATATGAGGACGACTTTGTTCATAAGTCTATTAGAAAAACTTTGGATGACTTAAATGAATCGCCTGAGGTATTCCTAATGTGTTTCATAATTTTCTATCCACATATATAATTTTCAAACTTGAACTATATATTTTAATGTATTATCGTATTAAATTCTAGATTGGCGCATGCATTGTATTGGCAACGATCACAAATTTGGTGAAAAAATCAAAGTGGTGGTTTTATAGCTGCCCGAATACGAAGTGTAGGAAATCCGTTGAGAAGGATTTGAAGATGTGGTATTGTGTTCATTGTGATAAGAAATATCATTCGGCTAACCCCATGTACGTACTATTTATTTTTATTTATTTTATAATTAAAATCAATTTCTGTTTGTTAATTACTACTGACATTTAAATATATTAAATTAAAAATTTATGTAGTACAAGGATTTAAAAAATAGCTAACATTACAACTATTCCAAAATTGTTATAGATTACTATAATCGTGTTAATATATTGTACTATTGCTTATAGGTACAAAATTGAGTTCATTGTCATGGACGACACAAATACCGCACCATTGATAGTATTTGGAAACGATGCAGAAATGACGTTGGGTCTTTTCTGTCGATGCATTAATTCAGCGTATACACGATAGGGTAAAAGTCAATAAGCGTTCGTGATTTTTTTTAATGTTCGTAGGTACATTTATTTAAACTTATTTTCCGTTACTAATTAGGGAGAAGATGATTTCGAATATCCAAAGGAACTTGATGCTCTGGTTGATAGAATGATGTTGTTCAAACTTAACGTTGTGGAAAAGAATGTACACGATCCAGCAAATTCAACATACCGTATTAAAAAAGTTTGTTTTGATGACTCTGTCATTACTGCGTTTACGGAACATTATAAATTGAATGAGGTATGTACATTTGACTAATTTGCATTATTACTTATTGTTTTTTTAATCACTATTTAATATATTTTTTTTCTTTTATTTACGTTAGATATCATAACTACGGTGGACATTCCCCAAGTGTAAATGATTTATTATGCATTAGGTAGATTAAACATGTTCTCATTCCATATTCAAAAGGGTCTAGAAAATCGATTACGTAGTCAATTATGTTTATTAAAAACATTGTCTTTTATGCTAGGATTCCTCTTCATTGTCGGATTATATATGATTGTGAAGTACTTTATGTTACTCCATCGTCAAAGCGACCGGGTGTATAGTGTTCTCGAAAAGGTATACGACGATCCTACACTGCTAGCACTCTTACCAGCACTATTGTATATAAAAAATTAGCTGTAGTATATGGAGTTAGTTTCATTAGTCATACTTAATTTTTCTTTTTTTAGTTGTTATGTTTGATTTGTTATTTTAGTTTGAACAATTATGTTTTTTTTTTCATTCCGTGCCATTTAAATTTGTTATTTTAGTTTGAACAATATGTTTTTTTTCCATTCCGAATATTGGAACGTTCTAAGTTTTAATATTTTGCAAGTTGTGTTTTCATATATTGGATCATTTAGATTATACTATTTTTTTTTATATATTTTACTTTCTCATAATAATGCATATAATTGCTATTGTCACATGTTTTTATACGTAACATTTTTTTAGTTTTTTGTTCAATTTGTTATGCACATAATAATGGTCTTTTTTAAAAAAAGATATTTTTTAGTTTTCTTTTCTTTTATTGTTCATAACTCATTTTACTTTTTAATTACTATAAGTTAAATTTAATAATGTGTGCCATATAGTACTTATTACTTAATTATATTACCCCTATTAAATATAGTAATTAAATAAAATACTAAATATATTAAAAAAAAATTCCAAAATTACGTCACCCATAAGTTACTGCCAAAGTTATTCCAAAATTCAACATTATTCCAAAAATTATTAAATAATGTTGGAATTATGAATAAGTTTTTATGAATAAGTTTTTATGATATATACATGTATATATATACACACATATTGAACTTATATAATCTAAAACTTTAGGATTATATATATATATGACAGTTTGTGCATGGACGAAGCAGGTTCCGAGATTAATGCAGAAATTTATTCCACCTAATTTTTCAATACAATATCGTGCTCCGGTCTGCCGCCGCATGAGCTAAAATTAAAGAAAGGAGTTCCCGTCATGCTCATTAGGAATATCGATCAAGCAAGAGGTTTATGCAATGGAACTCGTCTCCAAGTTTAAAGACTGGGCATGCATGTAATTAGTTGCAAAGTATTAT